GTCCGGAATCGACGGGCGTGTTTTTAGCCCTCAAACACAACGAGTCACCTACGGGCGACACCTGATTACACCGCGTAATCGATTTCCAAGCCTAATGGGTTTTTCTTTTCAACTACGTTCATAACATATAACAAATCGGATTAAAAGCAAGAAATTGTATCACTATTTTAATTTTCGCAACTTATTATATGTATACGGACTCTCACCGGAGTTTTATAGTTGTTGTATAACTGTTTTGTGTACACCATTTCAGCCTGACGCTCTTTATTACGAACAGGACTTGTAACAATGAAAAACAACGAGGGATAACAATGGGTAACAATCGTCAACAATCATAATTTTCTTATTGAGCTTTACGTTTGACGGCGAGCTTACGGTTATGCTCGGATCGATGCTCAAGCCGCTCATTGCGAAAGCGAATGGAAGCTTCTCGGATGGGCCCGTCCTTTTCGTCGCGCATTGCCAGCCGAGGACTAGTCGGCTTCTCACCCTTGAAGGAGTTGCTCAAGGCTTCAATCTGTTGATCAGCCCTTTGCAAGAACTCAATCGCCTCTTCCGTATTTCCCTCGTAGGTCAGGACGTCAAACCTTAGCCCAGCAAGGTTCTAGAGATTTTTCAATCTTGAATATTTGATACATACGTTTCGAAGGGATTCTTTTAGTTCCTTAATTCGAGTTGAGATTGCTTGCTTCTTCGCCTCTTGCTCATCGAGCGGCGCAATGTTCTCCTTATCGGCTCTGAATTATGACTTTGCGGATATTTTGTACTTCAAACCCTGCAACCAAGATCGGGATGTGGGGTGGCTGCAGTGCGTCTTCCGGTTGCTCAACGTCGAAGTTCGCGGCGGTAACATCGATCTCCGGATTATCAAGTCCTTGGTTGACTAAATAGCTAAGTGTTTTGAAATTCAGTATTACGGTTTAGGTGAACCATATGGATGTGTTTACACGCTACGCCAGACATTGTGTTTGAAGGACAATCGCACGTCCATGCATAAGGACAGGCTCGACACTCGCCACAATGCATGTTTTTTACCTGAATTTTGATTTAGGGCAAATCAAAGAACTGTACCTTGTCGCATGGACAATCGCGGTATTTGACGACCCGATAAGAACGAGCGCTATTAGTAGATTGTACTTGGTAGGTGTTTCGGCTCTCGTGTACGATATTATTAGTGTACTCATCGACGGCCCGTCTGTGTCGGCGCTTGTTTTCAGCTTGCCGCTTCGTCGTGGTTGAATATCGAACGTCCTGGACGGCAAGATGAGCTCGATATTTCACCGGGTACTCCATCAACTGATTGACTAATCTATCCAGGCGACCGTTGGTCTTTCCCATTAGGATTTCTCCTTTCAGGCGGCGGTGAAAAGATTCAGCCGCCATTGTGGTCGAGAATGGCGCGTCGATTCGGGCCCACGCCGCCCACTCTTCTTTACGTTGCAGATGCTTTTTCTGTAACGAGTTTCACATATTAAAAATTATTTACAGAGAAATAGGCGAGGAAGTCGAGTTCATCGTGTTCGAGTAGCCACTTTTTAAACGCTTCAATCTGTTTGTCAAATTCGAGCCGATCCGTTAAATTAAACATCATCTTGAGACGATCCATAAGTTCTTCTTTCCGGGAGGTCTTAAAAACCTTGAGGTTAGAGAATTAATCCAAACATTTTTCAGGCGGCTGCAATTCCTTTGCAGTGTTTTGAGCTGATGCCATTTGCAGAGTCTCTTTCGCGTGGAAGCTTGGGGGAATTCGGCCTTGAAAGCATTCCAAAACACGCCGTCATCATCGCTCATAAGAAATGCAGGATCAAAATCAGGGTAAAACGAGCTGAAGGTTGGAATATGATGCATGTGCAATAACTAACCGGATACTTTCGAACAAAATTCTGACCTCCTCCTCGCGTACTTGTGCGCTTAGGAGGAAAGCGACCGGAAGACCTCGATCCTTGTGGTCGAGGACAAGCATTGTTGTAAGGCGCATGGGATAACCCGTTACAGCATGTGTATCGTCAATGATGACGCCCCGGCTCCCGTAATCGCGAAGCCACTGCTTCTGGAGAGGCGTCATGAAATCTAAATCGGCGTAATATTTAATATTTCCCTAATACTTTACTTAGTAAAAAGCCGTTCGTTGATGGAGGATTGTGTGCTGGCGTATAGAATACTATCATGTCATCAGTGCATTGCTCAAGGAGTATTTGGAGCGAAATTACATCTTCTTTGTGTTTCCTTCCGGGGATCAGCTGGAAGCGCTCCTTGACCCGTCGAACGTCCTGCAGGGTCGTGTAAAAAGCATGGTTAGTCGGATTCTCTTCGTTCAAGTAAGGAGCTTGAAGCTCAGTGATGATCGTCTTGCTATCAACTCCTTAAAGTAATAAAGTTGTTTTTACTTTTAGTATTTTAGCTCCTACCAAGTTCTAGTAAAGCCAGGATCTTTTCTTCAACGACGCTGCCTTCCAGACTCAAGAGTTTAGGATCAAATTCATGAGAGTGCTGTGAACAGTATTTGACCAGAACCTCGCCACTTTCACTTATCGTCTTCTGAAGTGTGAAGCGGTAAATCTCTAGCAAAAAGTATGAAACCTGCACAAAGGCGGTACAACTCTGCGTCCCATCACCGCCACTCCTGCTAGCATAAGTGCAACGATAGTAAGTGTTAGAGCCAGATGTTCGACGAAGGTAGAAAGAGGAGCAGGATTCGTTCTCCAAGTACTTTAGCCATTGGTGGAAGATCTGATCGTTCTCCATCGTTACATCCGCGACTTCGTAACTATATATGTCTTTGATATTTATATGATAAATGAATCCGTACTCGTCATTATGCTTGTCTTTGAAATGATGAGCAAGCGCTTGCTGTGTGGCTGCCGGATACTCGCAGATTTCACAGATAATCTTAGATGACCTCTGATCCGCTTGGTGGCTCCGTTTGATGTGTTGCTTCAACGACCTATCTGTGGCGTAGAAGTTGTTGCACACGACGCATTGCAGCTTTTGGCCTGCAGCTCGAGGGGAGGGGCGGCTCTCAAGCCCATGCTGAGCGACCTCGTGTCGCGTAACGTTATTAAAGAATTCGCTGTTGTATTCACAAGATGGCCAAGAACATTTGAAGGACGTTCGAGTCATCTTATTCGTAGTAACAATGTCTGGAACAGTAGTATAGGACCGTATACATATAATAAGTTGCGAAAATTAAAATAGTGATACAATTTCTTGCTTTTAATCCGATTTGTTATATGTTATGAACGTAGTTGAAAAGAAAAACCCATTAGGCTTGGAAATCGATTACGCAGTGTAATCAGGTGTCGCCCGTAGGTGACTCGTTGTGTTTGAGGGCTAAAAACACGCCCGTCCGGAATCGCCATTTGCAATTTTAAGCAGAGCGCAGGGGCAGAAGGCGTGGATGGGGGGCCACGGCATTCCACGGAGGCACGGATAGGACCCCCTGGGGCCGCGGCGCAATCGGTTAGCGCCGATCCCAAATCTCGAACAGAGGGTCCGGGTTCGACCCCCGGGACCAAAGTACAACCGCTATTTCTCCCCAAAACCTTTGCGAAGCTTTTGCGTTTTGCTTAAAAACTATGCTCCAGCCATTGAAAACTGCTAAAACAATCAGGATCTGGAAAAATTAACCCGATCAAAAAGAGACGGTTGATCCACTAGCAACCATTTTCGCAAAACAGTCACTTGGAGCCATTTTCAGCGTCGATTTCACGCACTGGGGGGTAATCGACCTTGATTTTACCAAATCTACGCTCAGATTTCAGCGACAATGCTTGGTTTCTGCGCTTTTTAAAACCGCACAAAATCCTGGACTAAACTTCAAAAGATCATCACAAAAAAGTACCAGAATAGATTTTCGATAGTTAGGTCTCAAAATCTGCGCCTTCGCGTCTAGAATATTTAAATCTAATTGAGTTTCTAATTTTTCTATTAAAATTTCGAGAAAAATCCAGTTTTGTCCAAAATTTTGTTCATTTTCGAACAAAAACGTGGCGAGCACGCTGTCCCCTTGTGCAGGGGAGCCTGCCGTAGCCCAAAAGCTATCCGTGCCTGCCTGTTAAAGCCTGGAATAGCGTGGGGCCACT